GTGTTAATTTTGTCCCTTTTCCCGGGGGGGTCTTGTGGTGAGGCGATGAATCGGACGCAACGAGATGGGATGGCAAGAGCGAGGTTGGAATGGTGGGAAGGTGAAAGGCAAGGGCAACCAACGGGAAAGGTCAAGATAGTAGGTTGGTTGGTAGGTAATTAGGCAGGTAGGGAGAGGCGGAGAGAGACGTAGGCGCACGCGTGCACGCACACTCACACTTGCACACACCACACAGATTGCCTTTTTAGCGCACTGAGTAAGTGCGAAGCGGGAAGGCACGAGGAGGATACCGGTACCTTCTCCATCCGCGCTAATATGTGTGAGTGAGGAGGCAGATGGGGGAAGAGAGTAGAGGGGCCGGAGAGGTGTGTATACTCCGCATGTGTGTGTCGCCTACCTTACCTCGAGGTACCTAGTGGCGTGGTGTATGTGTAGTGGGAAAGCGAGAAGGAGCCATCGTCTTCATTGGTAAGGTAGTTGTTAGCTCCTATCTACCTCAAAAAAAGACACTCGTTGACGATGGCAAAAAACCTGGGAGGATATGAAATGGTACGGGGAAGGAACGAGGAGCAGAATTAGCGCAGTGCCTTTCATTCTTGCGACTACACCAAAATCGCAAAATTACAAGGCAGGTGCAAGTCTGGGTCGGCACGGCACGTAATCATCCCGTCTACACCTGCTTCTTTTGCAACAAGCGAGGCAGAGAAGTCTCTGCTAATTGCAAATTTATTAGCGACCTGTGGGAAGCAGCGGACGAGCATCCGTAGACTGTAGTGTACAGAGTATGCGCAGTATCATGCAGTCAGGTCGTGGTCGACTGGATGAGCTGAGACGGCAAGTGGGGACCGTAGATGCGAAAGGTGAGGGTATCGTCCAATCGGTCAAGATGAATGCGCTTCGGTCAGAGACTCAGAGTGGCAGCCGGGACATGATGAAAAGCAAACAGGATTGGATCATTGAACGTCGCGTGCAAGGTACGGAGCACGAACTGGTCGGGCAGCTTGGCAGTAATTCGCATGTCAGGGAGGGGGAACTGCCCAGGTATTCCTCTTAGAGAGGGAGACGCGAAAGAAAGGGAGGGGATGACGGCAGGTACTAGATTCAGTTCGGTAGGTCTGCCCGGACACTCGGGAAAGAGGGAGTGAGACCCGGGCCAGGGTCCAAGGGGGTCGCCTCTGCACACAATTTGGAACTATCATATAATACCTAATCAAGTGTATGTCTGCCTCATGAATAGAAAGCAATTATCACCAAAGCCCAACGAAATGAACAGCGTTTCTGGCATCGATAGAGACAAAGTAAGTTCATGTGGTGGAGAGTAGGAGAGAGGAACAGAAAGACAAAATTGACTGCAACTTCCAGTGTCGCATCCAGGTTCACATTCAGGTACGGACACAAAGTACGTACTTCTTGACCGAATCGCATCAGAACCACGGAGCAAAAAAAGACAAAAAGCACAAGGTATTACGGACACCCGGTGTCGTCTACTTCATAGGTACATCGTACTACGAGTACCATGTGAGGTACGAAGTACTGCGTACAGAAAATAAGACGTCAATTTGCAAAATGTCCGTCTTTCCCTGTCAGCCTCCACTCGACTGTTTGGACCTTGGAAAACATGGCATGGGCATGGTTGTGTCTCCAGAGAGACCCAGAGCAACAAACACTAAACTCCACTACAAGATTGATGAAGTTTGTGTTTTGTCCAGAGTATCCGTCTCTTGCTCCTGTGCCTCTCCATCTCGAATTGCTCGCTTTGGCCGGCAGGCAACAAAAACAAAAGGCAATCTCGATTCGAACGATTCAGGATCTATCGTCTTGCGGGGGTAAATTCCTCTGCGATACGGCCATACGCCCCTTTCCCTTCCAAAGAGGCAACGTTTTGTTCGTTCGCAGCACAAAGTCAAACCCCGGTGCGTCCCTTGGCCCTCGCTTCGTCCCGTCTTAGAATGGTCTTGCGGCGTCTGAGTAAGAACGCGAGACATTGGAGAAAGGGGAATGCACCTGGAGTGCATTGACGGTCCCCGTATCTAAGCCTTTCCACCCGCGAGGTACAAGAAGTGAGGGGAATCACAGAAACATCCAAAAGACGATTTAGAGACAAGAAGCTTGGATTCCAATGCCAAGATCGTACGGCCACAACCAACATCAGACGTCACTACCAATCGGTCAATATTTTGGGCGGTAACCGAAGCCAGAGAACGGCGGGGCCCGGCTCTTGCAGTTCATGGATGATTGGCTGCGGATGTTCAAAATGACGGCAAACTGGCAAGCATTCCACGAGGTCAGAGGAGTCAATCTCCAAGCTGGGAACCCTCGTCGATGGTACGATGCTGTACCGCAAGGCTTAGATCAAAGCCACGGACAAGCAAAGGTCAAATATATTGACAAATACGTGCTCCATACTCCGCAAGGTACAGGAAGACACCGCTCTATCAAAGTTTCCTTCCTCCATGATCCATCCGTTCGGCACCGACAACGGAGGTGGAGGTGGGCGGGAAATAACATAACAACGCACCTCGTCCCGAAACGGTCAAAGTCGGGTCGAGACCGAGATTGTGGTGGTTGTGGTTGCCGGTTGGGGTTGCAATCAAGCCAAGTCCTTCCAGGTCCCGGGTTGGAACATCCGAGAGAGTTAAGTTGCTTTCTTACGACAGGATGACTTCAAGGTTCCTATGCAGATGGCTCAACGCTCAACAGCCCAATGCGGCTGAACATTGATTCTGTGGCCGATAGCCAAACGCCAACCGATCTGCTTTGGGATCAATATGCGCAGGCCGCAGGGCACTGGGGGGATTCGTTTCGATGAGGGGAGCGAGGGAACTGTGTTGGGATTCGAAGCCCGGGCACCTATATCAGTGCTACTATCGACTTACGTACATACGAATGCTCCGTGATCACCATGTCGCCGTATTGGAGTCATTCGAGGCTGGCAGACAGCCTACCACCTGTACGCGGTCATGACCCGGGGTGCGGCGGTCGTTGAGACAAGAAATCCTACTTGCCGCTGCATTGCATCCTGCGGGCTTACGCAGGCAGACAGGACAAGTTGGGGAACAGGCGCAGCTCGTATTCTGGCAGAAGACGCAGAGAAGTCATCCAACGCTCTCGGTCTTGAGGCAGGGAAGTCCCGCCAATGATTCAATGCAACTCCGAAGTCTGTGCTTGGCTTAAGACATGCTACTATGATTTGAGGGCTCAGGGCTTTCAATGGATGGATGGCCGACCCAGCTCGACCTTCCATGATGTAGCTCCCCCACCTCTCCCATCCAAGACGTGAGTTCAGGGAATGGCTTAGTCAGCTCTACAGGCTTGGCTATCTGCGTGTTGACGCTGTCAAATACCGTACTCTCTCCAGCTACTTATTGTCATTAATGTATCAAGGTTGGTATAGTATGGAACATTAACAACAACAATCAGAAAGGAAGACCCATACAAGGCACAACCTGGGACTTCACAAGGACACTAATACACTGATTGCAGAAATTCTTTTGGCTATTATGAAACGCGATCCACGTCGGCCCAGCTAAGTGGCTCGTTCCTGTGAACAATACCGAACCGTCTCTTCCACAGACAAGGAACCCTTTCCCCCAGGCGTTCACTCCAATTCTGAGCCGGGCTACGGGATATTGGGGGGGGGGGGGGGGAAGTCGGTTCAACGTAGCACCGCAGGACAACTCTCCTAACCGCGCGCCGCCGCCCGCTTTCCGCCGCCCTTGCATGCACAGTAAAGCTCAGCCGGGCTCTAGTCTTCAGGCACTGCCAGGCTAACAGGTGACGATGCACATTATGGTTAGACGGAGGTAGTGTAAGCCCTGCAAGTGTGCAGATGCATCTTGGTACAGCGTACATACTTGGCATAACGCCTTGGAGATATCTGAGCTAAGCTGAATGCCGGCGGTGGCTACTCCATAGTCTGGACTGAAATACGTAAGGTAATCCACAAGCAACGAATGTCCACTTGCAGGGCTTGATTCATTCAGGCTATCCGAACGCATACATAGTAAACCTCGTGACCTTACGGATACTGCGTACAGCACCCTCCTAACAGAGTGTGACTCCCGAGACCAGGGCAAGTTTGAGAGGCCGACAAACCCGCCCAACCCTATCGTGCCTTGACACTTGAAGAATTTCCACCGCACGGCGCAAGGTGACGGGAGCTGGTGGACCCCCACGACCACAAATCGTCTCACCAGCCCCCAGGGGTGCCTTAGCGTCCACGGTCTCCCACGGTCTTGCGCCCCCTTCAGTGGCTTGAGCGTCGAGGGGCCCTGCACTTTGGACTCCTGAAGGGTTGGCTGTTTGTGCACTACGGATGGATTGCCTACGGTAGTAAGCAGTGCACAAACAGCGTCATCGAGCGAAAAGTCGATAACGAGTCAAAAACAGCAAAAGTCTCCAACGAGGGCAAAGAGGGCAAAGCCACAAAGCTACCATTAAAAGACGGCGCCCATGTTCGGCAGATCGTATAGGACGTGCACCGTCGTCCCATTTTCCCCACTGCTCACTGAGCCCAGACCTCACAGTCATCAGCCAATCAGTACGTGCACTCCCGACCGTTCAAGCTGCGATACGTACCTGCTGCAACTTATCCGGTTACCGTTAGGTTACTTAGGTTCTTACCTTAGCAGGCTTAGGTCCTCCGTTCACTCTGTTAAACCTCCAAAGGAATTAATTACCTGATACACTGGTCCAACCGAAGACGCGTTGAGCTGTCGCGCTTGTCGACCACCAACTACGATCAACGACAGAGCACAAGTCTGATCCTCGATCTGGCCTCCGCATTCTCACTGTTGGCATTCCTCCCATACATGACTTGCATAACCGATTGAGATGACACCTTCTAGCGCGAGGGTCAGGTCGCGCGATTCGGACTGGTGGTGATTTACAGTGGCTTTCTCATAATCCCTGTTCACCTAGTCGTGGGGTTCACATGAGGACAGGAACCCAACTACATGTCTACTTCCTTGTCAGTGTTGACGCGAAATCCGGCCACGATTATGGCGACCAAGAGAAAGTCCCTGGCACTTGAGAGGCCAGAGGATGAGCAATCCGAGGGCAAAAAATCAAAGTTGATCCAGATAAAAGGTCAGGTCAGGCATACGCTTCTACAACAGCACTATGATGTCGTGCAGACACTTCGCGGGTACCTGCTTTCTAAACTGCCAGGGTCTTCGAGACTTCGTCGCAAGAAGATTACAGCGTTGGGAAAAGACCAGGCACGGTGGGCACGCATTCAAGACCACGACATTGGACCGGAGCTTTCTTCGTTGTTAGACTCAACCTTGGTCTGCACGCAACACCGCCCTAAGGCACAAGCTGACTCTCGGTGGGCGCAATGGCGGTCCTTCTCTCAGAAAGCCGACGACTCGGCTGTGTCTCTCTCGGGAGGTTTGGCTCAAGCTACTTCCTCGCAGTCAGAGGTAGGCCACTGCTACGCGACCAATATGTCTCTAAGGCTGACCGTCAAACACAGATCGTTGACTTTGTGGTGTGGCAAATATTCAACAGACACGCTGCTTGGCCGAAGCACCTCCTCTGCGATGGGTTCAGGAGGCAGGCTCAGAACATTGCCAATGCAAAAGGCCACGGTCGCGACAGCGGAATTCAGGGGCTGATCGCAGTTGACCCGAATCACTACGTGCAGGCCCTAAAAGAAGCCCCTTGGCCACAAGTACTTATGCTGCTCGGGAAATCAGGCGAGCAGATCATGATAGATCTCCTCATTGATACGGCGATATTTCTCCCAGTGAGAGCTGGTCACGGCAATATGTACCAGCTCAGTGGTATCCCCATGTCAGAGACGGGCATAGCCGCGAACCAGGACAGCAAGAAGCAGACAAAAGGAGATGCCACAACGCCGCCACCCATACCTCAGGAGCGGCTCCCGTCTGAAATCAACCTTATCAGAAATCGCATGCTCTACGCTCGAGCTGCTCTCACCGCTAAGGGCACGGTTCAGTATGGACTGCGGCACATACGTAAGTTGACATTCGATCCAAAGACAAAGAGAGACTTCCTCTGACTCCGACCGACAGATGTTCTAAGTCGTTGTCCGCGTCTATCGTATCCAGAACAGGCAACCGCCGAAGAAGAGAGATCAAGAACCACACAGGCGAACGAGCGCAACACGCTGAAAGTCATGATGTATATCTTCCCTCGACAATTCGGCCTACACAACGCCTTCACCTCCAAAATTGACCACTCCAAGACGTCGCAAAAGTTTGCAGACTATACTCTCCGCGAAGACGAAATCTCGTCAACGTTCAAGGGACGGGATATCAAGCTTCCAAAGAGGCTGCGCGGAGACACAAAACGACTGGTGCAGAGGCTACAACTTCTCCACGGTCGGTGTGCTTACGCTGAGATACTGCGGCATTACTGTCCTTCTGCTGTTGACTTCAAATCCCGGAAATCTGTCTCAAAAAAGCCGGTGAAGCAGTCCAAGACACTTGATCCTGCACCGGTGGCGGGAAGAGACAACCATACAGCTGTTACATCTGGTGCTCCCAGAAATAGCACACATAGCCGCCCCAAGCTTCACCAACCCGCGGCGCCTCCGCTACTGCCCACGTTTGATGCGATCACTGACTTGGCAACTCCCGCAGCTCATGTTTCCGCATTCTGTCAGGCTGTACTGGCCAAGATCATACCAGATGAGATGTGGGGCACTGGTGAAGGCGGTACTTACAACAAGAGTCAAATACTGAGGAAAGTCGATCACTTTGTCAAATTGCGGAGGTTCGAGGCCATATCCCTCTGTGAGCTCGCAGACGGGCTCAAGGTAAGCAGTCCTCCGGTTCTAATGGATTCTGTCTAACGCATTCATCAAGATTACCAGTATGGAGTGGCTGGCGCCTCCAGGCATCAAAGCCCAGAAAACCAGCTTGACTGACATGAAGAAACGACATGAGATTATGAATGAATTTTTGTACTACATTTTTGATTCGCTGTTGATACCCCTTTTGCGCAGCAACTTCTACATCACAGAGTCGAGCTCTCACCGCTACCGTCTCTTTTTCTTCCGGCATGACGTTTGGCGATACGTCGCAGAACCAGCAATGGGGAGTCTTCGAACAAACATATTTGAGGAGATCAAGCTTGACCAGGCTACCGCAATACTCGACTCCAGGCGGCTGGGCTTCAGTCGTATCAGGCTTCTGCCCAAAGGAAAGGGTATGCGGCCGATCACGAACCTGCGAAGGCGAACAGAGATCAGGGGCAGGAGCTCTGTTCTCGGCCCAAGCATAAACACTGTACTGGGCCCGGTACATTCCATGCTCAAGCTCGAAACGGTAACCCTCATCATCCAATTTCTGTGTCATTCATCTAGTTACTAACGGCCTTTGTAGCAAAGCAATCCCTCCAGGCTCGGATCATCCATGTTTTCGGTGGGTGATCTCTACCATCGCCTAAATGCCTTCAATGCCAGATTTGGCGACCATCGGCCGGTATTCTATTTTGCCAAGGTAGATGTGCAGTCTGCCTTCGACACCATCCCTCAGGAGGCTGTGATCAGGCTGATGGACAACATTCCGAATGAAGAACAATACATCATCAAGAAGCACGTCGAAGTAAAAGCCGGATTACTGGATTCTCGGCATCAGAAGAATGCTGTATCAACAGTCACGCGGCGGTGGCATTCCATCGCCGTCACCCGCAACGATACCACTGACTTTTCGCAGCTGGTGGAGGGGCGTCTTGGCATAAACCGCAAGAATACCGTCTTCGTGGGAAACACCATGAGAAAGGAGCTAGAAACGGACGCGCTGATGGCTCTGATGGCATCGCATATCAAGCAGAACCTCGTCAAGGTGGGCAAGAAGTTCTACAGGCAGAAGAAGGGTATCCCCCAGGGCTCTGTATTGTCTTCAGCTCTGTGCAACTATTTCTACGCCGACCTCGAGGCGCAGCATCTGTCGTTCCTGTCTGAAGGGGAGGAGCAGGGAGAGGAGAGTGGAGAATGCCTGCTCTTGAGGCTGATTGACGACTTTCTTCTCATCACGACGGACCAGGCCAAGGCACGCAGGTTCGTCCGGGTCATGCATGGCGGACTACCCGAGTACGGCGTCGCTGTCAGCCCCAACAAGACCTTGGTCAACTTTGACATGGACCTGGGTGGTACGAGAGTAGCCAGGCTTCCGGATGGGGCTCAATTCCCTTATTGTGGACTGGGTATCGACTGTGATACCCTTGACATTGTCAAAGATCGAGGTCATATCAAAGATACAGGTAAGCTCTTCGTGTCGCCGTCGTAAGGAGGTAAGAGAAGCAGCGCCACGCAGTAAGCTAACCTTGCCATCAGTGGTTTCCAATGCGTTGACAGTGGACTACGGGAATAAGCCCGGTCAGAATTTCCAAAGAAGAGTCTTGAGTACGTCCCACAACCTTGCTTCCCTATAGCCAACCCTCACTCATTTGAAATTCGATTCAATCCCGCCAGCTAACCTCTACGTCATCTGCCACCAGACGCCTTCAAAATCCAGTCCCACCTTATGTTCTACGACACCAAGCACAACACCCTCAAAACCGTCATGTCCAACCTCCACAAGGCTTTTGCCGAGACGGCCGAGAAGATGTGGGCGTACTGGCGCTGTCTGCCAACCAATAAACGACCTGGTGACGGGCTCGTCATGCGTATGTGTATTCCTTATCCCACTCCAACATACCATACTTGCCTTTTTTCAATCCTGGCCTTTACTTTGACACCCTTTTGACTAACGACACCCATTTCGACTTCTCACAGAGACATTGGCCAAAGTAATCGACGTCGCTTACGGACTGCTCACGAGCAAGTCTCGGAGGGAAAAGTATCCAGAGTATGATTGCGCCGTGGAGAAGACGCAGGTTGCGTGGTATGTATTTCTTCCGCCCCTGACACATTGTTGTGGACATCCCGCCGTCTTACTGAATGGTTTTCTCAAAGGCTCGCTCTCGATGCAGTGAGGATGATTCTCGCAAAGAAACAGGCAAACTTTACGACGGTATTGTCATGGATCGATAAGGAGACAGGGCTTCTTGACGCCAAGAAGACGGCCCGGGCGAGGAAGTACGTACGAGGGTGAACAAACCAGAATAGTATCGTGGTGCAATGCACAAAAGGTCGAGGAGATTTTGGTGTAGCTTCCTCTGTGTATATTTATTCTGCGAGGCAGAATCCCCCTTGCCAGGTAAAACGGGTCGGATGGAACTTGAACTCTCCCGTCTTTGTCTTACTCGTTACTCCTCTCCTGCCCCTCTCCTGTGCCACAGATCATCTATCCATATTGAACACGTCGGTGGCCGTTGTGATGAAATCATAGGAAACTGCCTTCTCGTACAACCCGGAAACCATGTTGCTTGCTAGGCAGTAGTTAGACTCGCAATGTTGGTGCGATGCGAAAAATGCCGTGTGAGGCGAAAGCACCAGATTTATCTCCGAGGTGAAGTAACCTCCACACTGCCTTGCAGATATTTGAAAGCATACAAATCAATTTCCAAGAGTAAAGTTGACGGTTATCGAATCTCACATGGATGGTACCCAGCACTCCAGCCCTCTGTGTTTACTAATTTCAAAAAAATAATAAAAAAATAAGGGAGGGATTCAAAACAGAGCTACGACAAATGATCCTCGGAGAGATCATGAACGACCAAGGAAGATTCTTCCTGGAGAAACTCGCCGCAGCGTCCGAGTACCCAGATTCCCTCCTCTGCCAAGACGAACGACGGGCGACGCTGAAGGCACGCATCGAGCATTATGCCGAGAGGAAACATCAAGTATTTGACGAGGCCCAAGAGAAACGGAAGGATAATCCGTTGATAGTCGTTGACTTTGGCACGGGAAAGTCTCGATCTCCGGCGGCGGGGGGCGATTTCGATGTCGACGAGGTTGCCAACGATAAAAACAGTAGGGAGAAGGCCGACTTACACATCATACGCAACATCGACGACTTACGAAACAAGCTGGCCTGGCCGGATCCGAAGCAAGGCCCGTGGAAGTCTGAATACCTTGAAAAAGACCCTCCGTTACGAGTGATGTGAGTCCGCTCATCGAAAGCAATCAGGCGCAACAGCAAAAAGGGGCACTAATGGCAGCGTAACCAGCCTGCTAGAGCGCATGTGGCCTACCTCGCTGCTACTGAACCTCAGCGAAGACGTGCTGTTGGAGATCCTGACCTACCACCAGATCCCGGCTCACTTCCTGACCTTCGTTACCAGCGGCGGTGACTCCTGGAGCTTCGCCAGTAGCATGAGCTTCGCGGGCTTCAAGGGCTGTACGAAGACGCTCTCGGGCCCTGGTCAAGAACAGCCCACCAGCTTGGCGGTGCTAGGTCGTAGCGGTAGGCACATTCAGGTCTGCCTCACCTTATTCAGCATCCGCGAGTATCCCTCACATGCGCTGCCCCAGGACGCGGACCCCGCGAGAACACCGCGGTGGGAGACGCACTCCGCGGTCGTGTACGTCCATTTTGACATTATCGAGGGCACGGCGGTGTGGTTGCTCGCAAGCCCCCGATCGTATCATCCGGAAAGGGGTCACGGCACGCAGAACCTACTTTGGAACGCTTTGAAACACGACATGGCGAACGACATGAATGCGCTTCAGTCGCTTGACGTCCCCGAGCGATTCCGTATCAGCGTTGACAGTCTCCTTGCGGCCGCCGAGTGGTCTATCGGGATGTTTTCGCATCACGTCCAGGACACAGAGAAGAGGCTCCATGAGTTGGTGAGTCCGTCTCGCCACATAATGCGAGAGGCGCAGTAGAGCCGGAGCTATGCTAAGATGTCATGCAGACCAAGCCTTACGTCTATCCGTATGACGATGACGAGACGGTGGATGACAAGGCAAGCGCATCAATCCACGCCCAGGACCTTCGTAGAATGGCGTTCTTGATGGAAACTCGGCATGGTAGTGTCATCAAAGTTGAGAATAACCTTCGGGTTCTCCGCCGTCTCCGAGAGTTTTTCGTGGAAAATGTGGCCGGGCATCTCGGCCCTCTCAGAGATTCCCACGCCAATGACATCCGGACGCACATCAAAGGCTTTACGGAGAAGTTGACATTGGTAATGGCAGAGATCGAGGACTTGTTGGACAGGGCATCAGCACTGGATAAACTTGCGAGGAACAGAGAAGAATACGTACGCGGCGACTAAGAGTGTCAAATCAAGGGGAGCGAACGCTAAACGGCTTAGATTCAACGGTTGCAAGCGCATCACTCGACTCAGCAAATGAATACAATCGCGGTGCTGACGGCGGATGACTCGTCCGCGATGAAGCAATTGTCTTTCATCGCCCTGATATTGTTACCAGTCACGGTCGTATCGGTAAGCCAAGATATCCCCCGTCGAGCATTGCTGTTGGAAGAAAGGCAGAACACGAATGCGCTGATCGGATGTCGTAACCAATGATATTCTATGCAGACGGTTCTCAGTACGGACATTGTCAAGTTTCAGGACCTTTCGAACGAAAACGAGAATGCCACCCGAGGCACGTCCGAAGGCCCCATTCCGATATACAGTTTTTCGGTGGCGGCCTTTGGCACATGGGCGGTCGCCAGCGTACTCATGACTATCGCGACTTTGGTCATTGTCAAGCCGGCAGGGAACCGTAGGAGGCAAGGCAACGGCAGTGTAGACTGTGGGACGCACGAACCTCCCATGGAGAAAACGAGGAGATCTCGACTGATAACGCGATTGTCTCATGCGTGGAACATTCGAGACAGGTTCGACTCAGCCGTAGACTCTTCGTCCCGCAATGCCAGGCCCAGGCCACCGAGCCCGGCGACTTCGGCACTCGCGACTTCGATACACACGGCCCCGACGGTTGTCAAGATGGCATCAAAGTCGCGAGGAACCCCGGTAGTGGATATAGACGCTCCCGTGTGTGCCGAGTCCTCTCAAACTTGGCCATCGATGGGGTGCTGGCTGGGGGATGCTTGGAACACATTGTGGCGGTCTGCAAAGGATAAGGTGAACATGACGGAGATGGCGACGACACCTCTACCACGATGGGATAGTCGAAGAGACGAGGGACGAGAAGATGGGCAGAAATCGCGGGGAGAGGGTTCATGAGTGCATGGTGTCCTAGCATGTTGGTTTAAGGCACAAGGTTATCCGAAAGGTAATGTAAGGTAGGGTCGCATCGTCTAAGTGCTGGATTCGGAGAAATAGGATCGGGCACGGCAGATTGGCACATGCCAGATCCCCTCGGTCCCTTGCTACCCTCCGAATCTCCAAGGCTGCAAGGTTATCTGACAGGCTCAGCTCCTGTGAGCTGCATCTTTGTTTCTATGTTTCTTTTGTTGAATTGCCACTTTCGATGCGGACTCGGTGTATCCTGTATTGGCATGCTTGCGTTCCATTTGTTAACGGTCGAAGCGGTGGCCGAAGAAAGACGAAGCTCATCATGACCCGATGATAGATAAGAGAAGCAGACGAAGATCAAGCTTAGGCCTAAGATCGTAATGTGGCGGTGCTTCCACGCTCCGTACCCGTGCATGCATTGTCGTTTCTTTGAGAGAGCAGTTTCCCATACCTATACCATGTAGGAGGAGGTAAGGCACCTTCATGACGCTGATGCATAGGAGGTTTTAGCGAATCAGCCCACTATGTACACGCAGCTAGCGGGCGACTGAGTCCACCAGGAATGGCCCCCATGATTCGTCTTCCTTCGGATCCGACAGGGAGCCACCTCGCCTGGCCGATGATTTTCAGGGAAGGCCCCATCACCCGAGGCAGGTGCCGTGCAAAGATGGTAGCGGCCCGGGAAGCCTGCGTGGGGCGGGCCTTCCACACTCTTGCCTCTTGTGACCACACGACTGGCGGTGCAGGTGCAGGGGAAGCAGAGGAAGCAGTGGGCTCCGGCTCTTTCACAGACCGGCGGCCTGGTTGACGTCAGACGAAAAGATGCGGCGACTTTGCGTACCTTGCCTTATGCTCGTCTCCCGCCGGCTCAGCTCATCACGCTTACTACCTTACGCCAGCACGCCTTATTCGATTTAATTAGACAGAAAAACACAAGTGTAAAGCGCGAAAGGGACAAACGAGAGAGCAGCTAGTGAAAACAATACCCCTACCCTGTTTATTAGTTCCATCCGTCTACTTCCCTTTGCCCATTATCTCGCCCACTATCTTACACCCCGATACTTGATCCATCCTTGCTCGCATGACACTGCCATCCCATTCTCCTTCCACAATCTGCTACCTATTTGAGATCTCAGTTTTGTTTCCAAAGGGGCGAAACACATCTTGACTTGCCATGTTCTGTGGACGACAGGAGCACGCACACACTCACACCCACTCGCCTCATCCATAATTATCATCCAACTCACCCACACACGCCACACGTCGCATAATTTCAGCCCATCGCACTGCTGCTGGCCCGGGGCCTTTACCTTTGAACCCTCGTCTCTATCTGCCATTCCGACCACCTCGCTCCAATTCAAACCGGTTACGGGCTCTTGAACCATCCCGTTCTGCCCACTCGCGACAACCGTACTCGGGTTCGCTTTGGAAACGACATCTGACAACTTGGTCCAAGCACGCCGAAATCCACGAGGGCATTGGACCAAATTGTGTGGCAGACTCTTGTCAGACATCGGAACCATACCAACTATTCTCAAGAGGCTTCAAGTGTTTACTGCTTCCTTCCTCTCCCACCAGAAAATCCTGGTTGTGGCTAAGTCAGCGCCTCCGTCGCCTTTCCGTACTCGGAGACTCAGCCGTGTCTCGTTTGTCTCGTGTAATGTGCGAGTCAGACAGATACGCAGTTAGCTACAGCTAATGCCGTTTTATTTATACAACACTGCATCCTCCCTTCTTCCTACGGCTCTTGGCTCACCATCACCGATTACCATTAGGCGTTCGAGAGGTCTATTTCCTGGGGCAAAATACTATTTGCTGTAGTCTAAGGAAACTATCCAGACCGAGAGCAATATGGCAGCTGACATCACCACGCCACTGGGTATCCCAGGCCTCACCGCCCCGATATTAGCAAACGCTACAAAGCCTAGCCTTGCCAACATCAGCGCTCCCTTGCTTGCCACCATAGTTCGCGATAGCTACCGTGCTACCTTCAAAGCTCGCGTCGCCGCCGGCGAAGCACGACCTTTTGTACTCCCTTATGGTATCTTTGCCAGCTTCATCGTCCCCATCCTCTACTTGACCTTTCCGCACACCAAACGGCCGTGGCTTTACAAGGCAAGATGGCTTGTGCTAGCCTTCATCGTCATCTTCAACATTGACATCTTGCTGGGCACCTCTAGCACCAACATGTCCATATCTTATGCTAGCGGCCTGTCAGCCTTCTGGGGAATACTGTCCAACTTAATTATGCTGGTGTTCACGGCACCACAATTCGACTATGAA